AAATTTTATTAATTAACTAAAGTAATTAACTTTACTCTGCTATGTTAGAAGCCTTGTTTACAGAAAAAAGTGATTGATTTTTCACATTATGAAATTTAAAGCTTGCTTCAATCATGATAGAATCACCATTCTGTTTTTAGCCAGTATGAAAATATATACACACTCACATCATAGCGTTTCAAACCAGCAATGTTTGACTTATGAGGAAAGTTTTCTAACTGCTATTGCAACAGTAAGGCTTAGTGAGGTCTTGTACCAGAGCTAATTTGCACTGACTTAACTGAAGGGGTGTTCCATCTTCTTTGAAACAGTCAATGAACTGCTTAACTTAGCTTGCAGTTGAACAAATTGAAGTGTTCAAGCCCAAATGGGCAGGAACATTCGAGGCAACGTAATATATCATGGTATACTGGAGATTCTCATGCAATATTTTCCAAATCACAACACTGAGCTAGTCCCTTACCTTACTGTTATTAAATAAATGCAGTTGAAATGTTTCACATTTCTGTCCTGGTTTACACATGCTTCCATTTCTGTCCTCTATTATCTCCCTATTATATAATATAGTCCCAACAGGATTTTGTCATACCTACATGTTAATAATATAGCAATAACATCAACAGTAAGCAGGCCAGAAAAGTAAAAAATACAAAATTTGTGTTTTTATATAAAGCTTATATGTATATAAAGCACAGCAACAGTACTTAACAGCATCATAATGAATCATGACAATCATTGAAGGTGGAGAATTATTATTTATGGATCAGCTGCAGTGACCAAGGAGACTGAATATTTTTCTCACACATTGTATTTAAACTTCATTGTAGTAGTATTCCTTAATCTTGCATTCTAAAAACAGTTACATTGGTTGGAGTGCTTACTACCTTCAATGAACTGAGAGTGGCAAGTGTGGATGATCTGCAAGTAGGATTACCCTTGCTAGTAAAGTCAAACGGCGATTAGTGAAGTCAAGAGTAATTCACAATGGTGGAATGAAAGCAGATGGTGCTCTAGAGGTTAAAAGAAGCCAATCCACTAGGAAAAGGGACTCTGAAATTAAACCTGGATGAAGGCAATGACAAACTACTTCGATGTACTCAGGTTGAGGTCACTTTTCCCAGAAGAATGATAAACTTTCACAAGTAGATATGAAATTAATGCAGTCAAGGAAATTTGATCACATTTGGGGTTAGTATTGAAAGATGAGGCCTTGTTTTTCATAGACACATACAGTAAGAACAGACTATGAGAAGCATGAATCAAAGAAAACTTGAAATTATCAAAGCAGAAATGAAACATACTATATTAGATGTTTTAGGATTTTTGTTTTTATTTATTTTATTGCTGTAATATACAGTAGATCAAGAAAAAATCAAAAATAAAGAGAAACAACAAAAGAGAAACAAACAGGAACATATTACATTTAGAAAATCATTTTAACTGATTTTTAAATATATAATTAAGTTTGACCACACAAAATTATATTGATCATTATTCAATAATCAGATCGTAAACACAAAACAACACATACTGGTGATCTAGGATTGTAACTAGGGAATAGTTCTATCTTTCCAAACTTGAACAGGTCCCCCCCCCCCAACGCTTGCCAAATCTATAGTTTTTCATATAGGAATAAATACTCTTGCCAGCAGTACTTACAACTACAACATCTGTTGACATCTTAATTTGGATCAATGTCATTTTCAGTTTCAGAGAAATGAATATTATTAGAAGTGATAATTAAAACTTACAAAACAAAAAAAGCCCACAATTAGTTTTTATAAATACTTGTTACTGATAAATCAATTTAATACACACATTCTAAAGAATGAATGGAACAAGAAATTGGAGATCCCCATTTTGTCTAAACAGCAGGAACTATCATGTCTGTATCAAAAACTTCAGTAGATCTTAGACTATGGCTTAGTCAGCACAGTATTTTGGATTTAGTAGACCCCCATTGAATTGATATATCAAATGAATGAGTAAATCATTGTGTTGTTGGAGATGCAATGAAAGTAATGCTTCATTAAACTATTAGGACACTGCTTTGCTTTGCAGTTTCCTAAAATCATATTCTGGGAAGAAGTCATTGCACATATTAATTTGACTTTGAAACAGGGTTTAATATATTCAGATGTCCATACATACCTAGTACATGGAAATTGATGGCTGGACAATGAAAATGGATTATCTGCACCCTTCTGATTGTTAAAAGACTTGTTCTTCAACACTGGAAAAATACATTTATGGTCCCAATTGTTCAGTAGATTAAAAATTTGATGTTATTTGCAACTTAAGTACAAATTGTTCATAGATGACAATAATAGAATATGATTATGTGCCATCAAGTCATTGTCAACTCTTGGTGACCACATATGTAGATTTTCTGCATGAGTCAGCTCTTAGTGACTACATAGATTATCTGCATGGAAATGGAATACAGATAGTCCTCGTTTAGCAACTGCCTTGTACAGTGACCTTTCACAGTTACAACAGTGATGAAAATCTTTGTGACCTATCTGCGCGTTTATGACCTTTGCAGGTCTGTAAAACAAAGGAAAGCTGAAGATGACAAGCACGATCGCAGTTTCACTTAGCGTCCATTTCGCTTAAGAACTGAGTTGCTGGTCCCATTTGTAGTTGCTAAATGAGAACTACCTGTATAGAATATGGTAATCCTGGTAATCCTTTATTAAATGGAAGGAATATGGCAATCCTTTAATAAAACTATTGTATAAAACTTTATATACATACATAAATACATATATGAGATGCTCTCATATATATTTTGTTTTGCTTTTTTCCCCCCTTTTACTATTTTATTTCTTCTAATTTCTATTCTTTTTAAAGACATTTTTTAAAAGTGATACATCCAAATATTTGTATATAATTGAGAAGTACATTTATATCTTTAAACCATATTGATCTTTATATCACCTTACTGGCTAACTTATGAATATTGCGGCAATAGTTTACATTATTTAAATATAATAAAATTAAATAATAAATAAATAAATTAGTGTGATAAGTCCACATTCAAAGTGCCCAATAAATGTGAAAAACAACTTTTTCTTGAATTAGTCTCATCTTAAGAAATAAACACACATTTGGTTTTTGCTTTTATAGATTGAGTACAAACATATGTAAAGAAAAGTAAACAATAAACACAATTGTAAAGAGAAAAGAGAGAAAAAACAAAGCAAAAGGAAGCTTTAAAAAAAGAAGAAACCAAAACATACAGGACATATATTCACAGAAATATAATATGGCTACCATTAACTGAAATGTTTATGAAGAATTTTTGTATAGTATATGCATCTGAACATTGTAACAAACATACATTAATATTCTTTAAAACTCTACGCCATTGATTCATTTTCTAAAATGTTTATAAATAACAAATATCCACTTTAATAATAATCTTTAAAAAATTATGTTCACTTGCATTTTGTAAAGAAACTGAAGTCAAAATATAAA